CTTTTAAACTCTTATCTTTATTATTATCGATAAACTCTTTAAACTCTTTTATGTCGGTTATCTTAATACTGTGACCTTTTTGATAATTCTCCTTAGGTTTTATATCTCCTGTTTCTTTTTTTTATATCAATCCACTTATGCAAGGTTTGCCTTGAAATATTAAGTAATTGTTTAACCTTAGTTATACTTAATCCTTCCTCTATTAGATTTAAGGCTCTTATTCTTAGTTCATACGGATATGGCTTACTCATTTCTAGTAATAAAATTTTATTTACTTATATCTTATTACTATTGATAATACTAAATGTCAATAGCTTAAGGGTTTATGCTGTACTCTGCTTATCCTACTTATATCAATCTTTTTTCTATTGTCCAACATATGCGACAGAACCCAAAGGGCTACCCCTTTGACTACAGAACTAGGATTTAAACAGATTGTTGATCTCCTGAATAGATAAACCGGTAATACGAGAGATTTCAGGGATAGAGTAATTATTAGAGAACATATTTTTTGCTACTTCAATATTTCGTTCAGCTTTACCTATTTGGATACTTTCAGATTTACCTTCGGCTTTAGCAGTTTCTATCAGGTAATCCTCAGATGCCTTATTATCCATAATACGTTTAGTCTCTTGCTCATAAGTCAGCAATTCTTCTTCCGTCCAATTAAACTGATTTAATTCTTCATAAGCTCTTTCTATCACTTGATCAGAACCTATGATCTGACGTAAATCTGATTCACTAGTTTCATTAGCATGTTTAAAAAAATAACACCATTTCTCTATTATATTAGTTAGTAAATTTATATCAGTGATTTTAAACTTTGGTAGCTCTATAAAAGTAAAGAAAAAATCCTTTAAATCATGAGAATAGCTATCTTTATCCAAAATAATATGATCAGACTTATAGAAGACTTTAAAAATAATATTATCACTGATAGCAATAAATATTACCGACTTTAAATCTATATATCTAGCCCCTTCTTCCTTCCCTTTATTTAACTGCCGTGAATAGGCTTTAGCCGCATAATACTATGCTCTCTTCTCAAAGCCTTCTTGTGGAGATACCTGCATCTCAATAATTAGCTGCACTCCATTTTCATCTTTGCATCTACTATACTTTGCTTCTTTGAAGCAATCTCTGGTTCTTGAATAGTAGGTAAAAATGTTACTTCTTTGATTCTACCTTTAAGCTCCAGCACATCATTAATGAAATGAATATCTTTATTCTTCTCAGAACCAAATATACGGCAATATCATTTTTAGGATCGAGAAACTTAGTAATAGCCATAAACAGTAATTATTAATAGTTGTTACAGTTCCTACACGTTAGTTATTATAACATAAAGCTAGACAAACTAACAGCACAAAATACTAAATTGTCGGACTCTATTGCAAATAGTAGAGTAGGTGTGTTTTGTCGCATCTATAAATCATACTACATCAAGATTGTTAAAACTAAGGTTTTGGACATTATGATGCCATTAACATAGCAAAATTCTCAAAAGTAGAAAGATTATCATTAGCTCCAATTATTTGTCTTTTTTGAATCATACGAATATTTTCTATACCGGTAATAGTCATTTCTGCAGAATGAAAACTCTTAAAACCAAGCATTGGCTTTGTACGTTTTTTGATAAACCTATGATCTTGTTCTACAAAATTATTCAGGTATTTGGTCTGAATAACCTTAATTTTATAATCTTTAGGAACTTCTGTATTCAAATCATTAAGAGCAGCCGCATTACTACCGCTTTTATCAATTACTACTTTCTCAGGAAAATTATTCTCTCTGAAGGCTTTACGAAAAAGTGCAAGTGCTGCTGGCTTGTCTCTATGCTTACGTAGAAGAAAGTCTACAGTATTACCAAGACGATCTAGTGCTCTATATAAATAAACCCATTTACCGTTTAATTTAATATAATACCAAATGCAATAATTAACACGGTGTATTTATCCAGTCTCTATACATAATTGATTTTACTAAATCTACATTATGAGCAAATTGATTCCAAGCGTAACAAGCCATAGTGACGATATCTTCATATACACCATAACATTGGTTAGACAAGAAATGATTTTTGATCCATTCCCAAACTTGTTCCATTGCATTAAGTTCCGGTGCATAGGGCGGAAGCGGTATCAAAGTGATATTGCTTGGCACAGTTAGTTTTTTGGCTGTGTGCCAACCTGCATTCTCCGTTAGTAAAGCTATATGTCGGTTGCCTTGAATACTGCGAGAAAGGTCTTCTAAGAATTTATTCATTGCCTGTGTGTTTGCATATGGTAAAATTAATGCAAAAGCTTATCCTGTATCATGGCAAGCAGCTCCATAAATATATGTTGAAATGAATTGCTGTTGCCGAACTTTACGGGGTCTAGTGCCACGCTTAGCCCATATACGAGTTAAGCTACCTTGTTGCCCAACTCGAGTTTCATCCTGAAACCATATATCAACTTTACATTTATCGATATTTTTTGGTAATAATTCTGTTAACATGTCCGAGAAGTTTTTTTATATGTATTTTGAGTCTCTTGATTTGACTTTGGATGCATTGAACGAGAAGTAATCCAGCTAAAACCAAGTCGGTGCATAGTATTGTAGACTGTTTTTAAAGCACATTTAGCACCATATTCCTCAAGTAACATGATATGTAGCTCCTTTCCAGTTATATACCCACCAGTTTTACTTTCACTGAGCGTATTGATTTTATCAAAAAGAGTAGACTCTTGTATGGTGTTAATCTTCCTAGGAGCACCGCTTCTTTGTGATTCAAATAATCCTTCAAAACCATGATTCCTGAATCTTCTGAGCCATGATTGCACAGTCATCCAGTGTGACTTCACTATTTCAGATATGGCTTTAAAAGATTTGCCTAATTGAAGGTGATACATCGCCAATAAATGTATACGATTTCGACCATGCGGCTCATGTTTCATCATTTTTATAAAATCATGACCATGAAAACCTTGCGGTAATATTAACCGAGTTATTTGAGTACCTTTTATCAGTTAAAAACCCATTTTACAACACTGCGTTAATTATTGCAATTGGTATTATAGATGCGACAGAACCCATTAAGCAACATGTTCAAGGTCACTTACTAACTCAACTGCACCTGTTAAAGTTACATGATGAGGGTGAAGTCCAGCTAAAACAAGTTGACTAGCCTCGCTACATGCATTTGGAGGGGATTGCTCTGGAACATAACGTGTATTAAATTTTTCAAACCAAGTTGCCGTTTTGTCACCACATTTTCCATCAACTTCAATACCATAACCATGGTCTTTTCGTAGTAGGTATAAATTTACCAAACCCAGCATCTGCAAGTTGTTTCCAAGGAAAAAATTTTCCAGGAGCGATGTGCCTTTCAGCAACTTCACCGAGCCCTACAAGATTATCCTTATTATCCCAATTTGGGTATCTAGCTTTAATATCTACAAGTAATTTTATTACTTTAGTTATTTGAGAAGTTGTAAAAGTGCTTTTTGCATCATTAATACACATGATTCCTATGCCAAAGTCATTAACCTTTTCTTGCCCTTTCCAACTACTCTTTCCAGCATAAAAGGCTTTTGATTCTAAATCATTATGGTATTGGTATTGCTGCTCTTTTTTATCATTTGGTTCTTGATCTATTATGTAATGTACGCTTGCTCCATTATATTGCAAAGTATCTATTGCAGAATTTAATGTATTACTAACGGAATATGTTATACCAATTGCAATAATTAACGCAGTGTTGTAAAAAGGGTTTTTAACTGATAAAAGGTACTCAAATAACTCGGTTAATATTACCGCAAGGTTTTCATGGTCATGATTTTATAAAAATGATGAAACATGAGCCGCATGGTCGAAATCGTATACATTTATTGGCGATGTATCACCTTCAATTAGGCAAATCTTTTAAAGCCATATCTGAAATAGTGAAGTCACACTGGATGACTGTGCAATCATGGCTCAGAAGATTCAGGAATCATGGTTTTGAAGGATTATTTGAATCACAAAGAAGCGGTGCTCCTAGGAAGATTAACACCATACAAGAGTCTACTCTTTTTGATAAAATCAATACGCTCAGTGAAAGTAAAACTGGTGGGTATATAACTGGAAAGGAGCTACATATCATGTTACTTGAGGAATATGGTGCTAAATGTGCTTTAAAAACAGTCTACAATACTATGCACCGACTTGGTTTTAGCTGGATTACTTCTCGTTCAATGCATCCAAAGTCAAATCAAGAGACTCAAAATACATATAAAAAAACTTCTCGGACATGTTAACAGAATTATTACCCAAAAATATCGATAAATGTAAAGTTGATATATGGTTTCAGGATGAAACTCGAGTTGGGCAACAAGGTAGCTTAACTCGTATATGGGCTAAGCGTGGCACTAGACCCCGTAAAGTTCGGCAACAGCAATTCATTTCAACATATATTTATGGAGCTGCTTGCCATGATACAGGATAAGCTTTTGCATTAATTTTACCATATGCAAACACACAGGCAATGAATAAATTCTTAGAAGACCTTTCTCGCACTATTCAAGGCAACCGACATATAGCTTTACTAACAGAGAATGCAGGTTGGCACACAGCCAAAAAACTAACTGTGCCAAGCAATATCACTTTGATACCGCTTCCGCCCTATGCACCGAAACTTAATGCAATGGAACAAGTTTGGGAATGGATCAAAAATCATTTCTTGTCTAACCAATGTTATGGTGTATATGAAGATATCGTCACTATGGCTTGTTACGCTTGGAATCAATTTGCTCATAATGTAGATTTAGTAAAATCAATTATGTATAGAGACTGGATAAATACACCGTGTTAATTATTGCAATTGGTATAAAACTGGAAATTTACACTACAACTTATGATTAATACTTATCATATTATAATGCTTAATATACATTTTTGTGGATTAAATTCTATTAACAAGTAAGATATAATTTTCACTTATATACTTTAAGTTATGGTAAAAATATTTCATTTTACAGATGAAGCTGGTTGGTTGATATCTAGACTGGAAGTCGCTATTACTCTAAAGAGATATTACTAACGCCTGTGCAATTATCTCTCTGATCCTAACTCTTAAGTTACCCTGAAGTCTTTCCCAGCTGAAGCTAGGGGTTTTAACCAAAAAGGTGACTATAAAATGACTAAAAGAAAATTAGATGTTGCAAATACTTCAAAAAAACAAAAAAATAATACAGACATTAACTTAGAAGAAGATGTTATTAAGTATCACTTAATGCCATCGTTACAACATGTATCAATGAGCAATATAATAATTACATTATGGAATCAAGCAGATATTAAATATCAAATAGTAAAATTATTCAACGAATATGAATATAACTTTCTTACAAATATTTATAAATTATTTTTGAAGATTGAAGATAAAGTATTAGATCAAGTATTACAATTACCTGTACCTGATTGTATAAGAAAACTCTTATCAAATATTGTACATCCTATAGGGTATGAAATATTTAACTGGATAGAATATCAAGATCGATATATTTTTAATACTGATTATAGATATCAATATTCAAAATCCATAGCAATAAATTATATAGATTATTTAGTTTGGACAGCAAGAGGTGTAATAGATTATAAAGAGACAGCAAAAACTTTATTAGCTAAAGAGGAAAAGTTATTTGATGGTAACAAATATGATATTGCTTGTAGCTATTGTTTGGAAGATGATATAGCAATTATTGCCCCCAAGGTTATCGATACTACATTATCCCTAAGGTGTATTAAGAGGCAAGCAATGGTACATTTTTGGACTGCTCATATAACAGGAGATTTTACTAAATTATATAAGGCGTTTTCTTTTTACAATAGAAAATATAGTACTAATTATAGTATAAATGAATGTCTATTTAAAGAGTTAATAGATAATGATTGCACAAATCAAGTAGGAATAAAATATATCTGGGATAAACTGAGTAATGAAGCAAAAGCCAGACAAATAGTTTCAGCAATAAAAAATACACATAATACTGATATTAGATGTTTTCTTCTATCACAAATAAGTAAAGAACAAGAAAAAGAAGTATTTAAAACTTATGATGCTACGCAAATACTACTAGGCTTTCTAGATGATTGGTTATGGGGGCAGTATTTTTTACCTACTATACATCACATATGGGATATAATATCTGGATGTGATTATCTTAGTGTATTAAAAGGTATTGTGAATAAAATGGAAAAAAATCATGAAGATACTGAAAAATATAATCAATATAAATCTATATTTAAGGAGTTATGGCAATATGCTCCTAAACATTTAAAAGAATATGTTTTTGAACACAACAATGGTCATAGTTGTCATAGTATATTCTCCAGTTTATTTTGCAAGGAAAATATAGATATAATTCAGTCAATATTACGTGATGCTAATGATATACAAAAGAAGAAAATAATATTTTCAAATTATGAGGTTGATATATGTCGTTTCCTAATAACAAGTAATCAATGGGATTTATTAGAGATATTTATTGATTATACTCTTTTTGCTAGAGAAGATGTAGAGTGCTGTAAACAGGCACTTATAAAAAAAAAAAGGACGAGAGATAGCTGTACATTTTATACAAAATAAAGAATGGAATAAAGTAGAGCAATTCCTACAATGGGCTTTTAAATCAGATTATGAAATGAAGGAGTTTAAGTCAAAATTAGCATATAGTAAGATTTGTGATGATATCTTAGAATCCATTGTAGCAAATAACAAAGCAGATTTTATGGAGCTAGAGTGTTTTTTAAAATGGTGTGCTTCGGGTAATGCAGAAGGAATTGTTGAGTTAAAAATAGAAATACCTCAATTATATTTTGATGAAGTAATTTGTAAATTAATAGCAGAAGATAAATATGAATTGTTAGAGCCAATTTTAAATTGGTGTTTTATAAACGACCAAAAGCAAATTGCTCAGTTTAAACAAAATTTTTATTACGATCATGGAAATTTTGAAATAGTAGGGTTAGTAGTCAATCTAATAAAACAAGATGATCAATTACAATCATTTAACAAGTTTCTGTATTATTGGTGTTCTACTGATGAAGAAATAAATAAGTTTAAAACATGTATATTATATCCTGCGGAAGATACAGTAGGTGTATGTATGGAATTATTGTGTAAAGATATGTTTAAATTAGCTGATGAATTTGTTAGTTGGTGCTGCAATTCATCACAGAGACAAATAGATAACTTTAAAAACCAGTTAATGATTGACTATTGTATGGAGTATCTTTCTGAAGGAGATGATCCACGGACATTCTATGAAACAAAATTGCTTAAATGGTTTAATCCATCTATAGAGACCACTATAAGATTTAAAGAAAAATTTATAAATTTTTATTGGTTTAAAGACGTTTTACCTGCATTAGATAATTATATCAAAGAACAAGAATATAATCAAGATAAAGCTATAAACAAGGATATAAATAATATTTTACACGATTTAATATCAATTGTGGAAAACCAAGACCACGATATTATGCATTGCAATGATGATGTAACGGTATGTCTTGTACTGAAAATGCAAGTGTAATATTATAACTCAAACTATTATGGAATGTCTGTAGTTTCAAAAATATTTGTTCCTAGTGTTAGCAAAGGTTACGTAATAATATTTTAATAAATTGGAATCAAAAGATATTTGCAACCATCCGCTACTTTTAAATTATTTAAACAAATTTATAACTGGTCAGAGAGACAGATTATTATGCTTTCAAAAATTCTACTAGCTTTAAAATGTTTTGCTTTAGTTAACTATCAATAAAAAAAAAAATCTTTCACGAAACTCTCAAACAAGATGCAAGAATGTGGGATAGAATTTGTTTTAAGTTCTAAATATATTAAAACTACTAAAGAATTCTAATACTAATTTTAGGCCGGGATATCCTGGTCGGTAGGGCGCTGGGCCCAAGTCCAAGAGTTCGTGGGTTCGAACCCCACCGACCGAAGACTCCCAGTGTAGTAAAGTGACTGATGCACGTTAAATCTGTCTAGTCGCAAAAGTCTTCCATGTTCCCATAACAGATCCAAATCTCTGGGGGTATTGGATTGGAAATCTCTGATTCAGGTCTAAATTACAATCTGTGGATGAATGAATGGATGTATGAATGGGTCCACCCTATAAACGGGTGCGACGTATGGTGTGGCAGAAGTCTAATTCTTGGCCATAGATGGTGCCACTGAAAAACAAGAAACACACATTCTGCCGTAAATTTGCTCGGTTTCACCAAGCAGGCTTGCCCGTGTGGTAAGTGGCATTAGAAACTACAACAACAATACTAATTCTCAAACAATGGAGGATATGCAAGAATGACGGACATGATTTATTTGCCTAAAGTTCTAAACATTTTAAAAACACTAAAGAACCATACGTAACTAATTTTAGTCTTTGTTTCACAGTTTTCTAATTCTTTAATGTAGCTGTTGAAATAATAAATTTAGAGCAAGCCTTTATAATTTGATCATTTATTTTTAAATCGAAAAATTCAATCCAAACAACTTTTCTAAATTAAAAAAAAAAATTTCTAAAAATTTTCTGTTTAAAATAAATATTCGATGCAATTTATAATCTAGATGGAAACAAATAACTAAATTGTGTCAAAATGAGTTACGAAGTCAACCGAACACAGAATTCGAGACATTTATTAATTATGTGCACAAGTGCATTTAATACTGTTTGTTTTTTAATCTTGTTTGCCTTTAATGCTATTACACTTTTTTTTAATGTTACTACTTAACAAATATTAATCATATTAAAGTTTTCTTTATCCTATCTTGAACCAAAATTCTCTTCCTTCGCATTTTTTATTTCTTTCTCTCGAGTTCTCATTTTCTGGTTGATGAGCTGATTTGCAGCGTCGAATTTTATTTTACGCACAATCTTAGGAAGAAGATTGTTTTATTTAGCGCCGATGCAATATTTACAATAAACTTTAATAATAAATTTCTAATAAATTCATTTAATCAGTTTATCTCGTTTTCCAAACTTATAAAATAAGCAAGGATATTTAAAGGATCCATATTGATTATTTTTTAAAAAAATAATTCGGTATTAAACAGGGCTTAATAATTATAAACAGTTTTTCAATAAAATAGTTCTTTTTGTAAATAAGTATATCCAGACTATTCCATCATCGCTTTAGCAAATTATATAAACATGAACTAGTATTAATTTTTAAAGCCGTAAATATGTCTCGAGTTATTGCAAAAATGCATACTGTGGGATTTGTTTAAAAAAAATATTATGAAATAAAATATGCTTCGTTTCGTTATAAATTCAATCCCGAAAAAGAATTTAATTTTTGGTTAAGTAGTTCCTGAGTAATTAAATTTTCGTATTTGTAAACTTTTATTTCTCTAAAAAGTGTTTAAATTTTTCCACTTAAAATTGCATAGATTAAAAGTACCAAAAATTAATAAACCTTACACTTAATTGTTTCACAGTTATAAAGTTTTAATAAAAAGGAAAATATTCAAAAAGTAATATCAGGGGCTAGTAGTTTTTACAGCCTATTTAGCTAAATTATGGAAACCATTTTTTTCCTACGACAGCTTACAAGTCGAAAAATGCAAAATGGTTTAGTTGAAGAAATTATGTTTTATGTCTAACTGCCAACTTCTATGCATTATCTGAACAAATTAATTGTATTTTTTAAGATTAGGCCTTCGCATCTACGTCAAAATACTATCACTTCCATTAAAAACAATAATACTATCACTTCCATTAAAAACATAAAAACAATAACAATCAATAAGAAGTTAATTTTTTGTTTCCACTCAGAAACTGCATTTTTAACATGTTAGAATGGAAATCATGTCCTTTTTTACATTTGTTTATCTAGCTTCCTGTCAAAAAAATATTAAATCTTTTTTTTATGTTATATAATTAAATAATGGGCAAAAAACGTAAAATTTAACGTATACAAATTTTTGCATAAGTGAAATTATGTAATTTTAAATGGCGAAATACGAAATTAGAACGAAGATCATTAAATAAGATTTAAAAAATATATATTTTTTAATTTTCGTTTTTTAAAGTAATGTTCTATACGAAGAATATTTATATAAATCAGTTATCTTTTAACATTTCCCCCGCCTTTATCTCCAAGTAAGGGTAGCGGGTGTCTGAAAAAGGACCAGCGATTTGAAGAATCAGCTTAGAAAAAGCTAAAAGACATAGAAATGCACTTTAAACTGCGAGCTGCTTAGGAAACCAGCGTTTTATTCCCAATAAATAAAATATAGTTACAAAGCTCGTAAGCTCTGAAAATTATGAAATAATTCAAATATCCACTTTTTCCAAAAATGCGATACAAGCTGAAACCAAAATTAAGAAGTACCCGTGAATATATTTCTGTTGAATGTTTGGCGCTACTCTACCACGCCTTATAGACAAGCGGCAGTAATCATGATTTTAAAGTTACCTTCTTCAGAAGGGCAGTCTGTTTACGAGCTTTGTCACTACTTTTTTTTAAATTTCAAGGAAAAAAAAACTATTTTCCGAAGCAGAACGCAGCAAACCTATAAATAAAAATTAGTAGATTTTTATCCACCACTATTTCTAAATAATTCGTAGGCTTATATAATTTACCACTTTAAGGTATTATGTCATGCTATACCTTTTAAAAAGCAAGCAAAAATAGTCAAATATTTGAAATATTTACTTTGTTGTTATTTACCGTTTTTTTTAAAAATTATTTTAGCGTGTCCGGAGCAGTTGGCAACTCTGAGCATGCATAAAATATTTCTTTTGCATAAAATATTACTTCACAAGCGAAAATGTTGTTTATTTTTGCATTAATACAGCTTCAGCTTTTTTAAAGAATCGAAGTTCGATATATTAATCAAATAATAAATGGCCTTGTCAGACGTGTCATAAACTAAGCGGTATCATTTTCAGAAATATATATGTTTCCCCTTTATTTAACTGCTATCATTTGTGATATTTACATATAAAAATATTGCAGCTACATTTATAAGACGCTTCACTGCCTTAATCTAATGACGACTCTTGGAAGAGAGTTTGACTTCTTGAATGTTTCACTCTTTTTGGAAATCAAATTACCATCTCTCTCCCACTCAGATAAAAGGTTATGGGGAGAGAAAATAACAGTATTTCAAGAGATGCCCAGCTTTATTTGAAATGTCATCGAACTTAATAGCCATCGAGATTTGAAATATTGCGAGACTACTTCAAAATGAAGTATGAGATGTGATATTTTTGACATGTTATTTATTAAAATTTTGCGCACCAAAATGTTAATCGGTTTCCGAAGATGAGTGTTATGTTGTTTTTTTTGTGTATAATTTATGATATTTTATGCCTTACAGGCTTATTTCTAAATTATTTACGTAATTAATTGAGCATTTGATTAGAGTTGATTAATTTCTAGCATCTTTATTAACACTAGAAAGACTGAAATTTGGTATATACCTATATTGCCCAAAAGCAGTCAAAATGACTAGATTGTAAAATAATATGTAAGGTGTAAAGAAATTTGTTTAAAATTAATTTTTAATATTTTTTATAGCATTTAAAGTTTATAACAAGTTATTAGTAAATATTAACAATAAAAAAAATCATGTTGTACAAAATTCTAAGAATTTGTGTCATTATATACATCATTGTTTCTCTGATTGAAATTAAAAGCAGTCAAAATGACTTCCTTAGGCAATCTAGTGTTAAAAAAGAATAAATAATGTTGTATTTGTTAGATTTCGACGATGCGTATATTAACTCTTTAGAAGAAATCATATCGTTCTCTGATTCAGGTCAAAATTACAATCTGTGGAATGAATGGATGTATGAATAAATCCGCCCTATAAAGTGGTGTGACGCATGGTGTGGCAGATGTCAAGCTCTCGGCCATAGATGGCGCCACTGGAGAACAATAACAATCGCACCTCTTTGCCGTCTAAACAACAACAACAACAGAAAAAAATCATATTAATAAATATTGCTGCTGTTGTTGTTACTAATGCTACTTGCCACTATCAGCAAGCCTGCTACATGAATCCAAGCGAACTTTTAAGGCAGAGGGTGCGCTTCATGCTTTTCGGTGCCGCCATCAATGACCAAGATTACGACTTCAGTCTCACACACGTCACAGTCCGTTTAACAGGGAGGACCTATTAATTCTTCCACAGATCATAATTTTGTCTGAACCAGAGATTAATCAATCTCCAATTCTGTCCTTCTAGAGGTATTAATTTGTTATGGGAACTTGGAGGACTTTATGACCCCAAAAGATTTAGCGTGCACCAGTCAGCATTTAATGCATGGAGATTTTTCCACTGGTGAGATTCGAGCATGATAATAACTGTGCAATATGTAATGTGAAATGTGTGCACTGTGTTTTATACAGATAACGGGTACTGCTCTATCACGCCCCCTAAACTTGATTTTACTGTTATTGGTCGGATGGATGTTTTTTTCGGTCTTATTCTAGATTTTTTTGTCTAGTTTATTCCGAATAATTAGTTCTTTCTATTGAAAAAAATTGAAACGTAACAGTTTGAGTAAAAATAAATCAAATTATAATACTAACTCTTTTACGAAAACTTTATATGCTTAATTTTAACAGTGAATTATTAAACTTTGTCAAATGCCTGAAACGAATCTAATGGACATTTTAATGCTTACAAAAATCCTGATTTAAAAACTACACTCTTTAGAAGTGAAACAATATTTTTTTTCAAACTGAAAAGTAAACGCATTAATGACTTTGATTGAAGCAGTCAAAAAATAAAACTAAATTCATTCTATTTATTTTTATCTTTCGAATTGAAATTACATTCTTTAGTGCAGCATTAAATTGATTTCTCAAAAAGAAAATCAACTTGGAAAGATGTTATTCGAGTTTAAAGGGTATTCTATTTTTTATGGAAAGCAATGAGACACAAATAAAATTAACAAAAGCTTTATTTCAAAAACA